TGAAGTGTGGGGCCCAAAACTGGACACAGTACTCCAGATGAGGCCTCACCAATGTTGAATAGAGGGGAACGATCACGTCCCTCGATCTGCTCGCTATGCCCCTACTTATACATCCCAAAATGCCATTGGCCTTCTTGGCAACAAGGGCACACTGCTGACTCATATCCAGCTTCTCGCCACCCTGTCACCCACTGTCACTGTCACCTTTTCCGCAGAACTGCTGCCTAGCCATTCGGTCCCTAGTCTGTAGCTGTGCATTGGGTTCTTCCGTACTAAGTGCAGGACCCTGCACTTATCCTTATTGAACCTCATCAGATTTCTTTTGGCCCAATCCTCCAATTTGTCTAGGTCCTTCTGTATCCTATCCCTCCCCTCCAGCGTATCTACCACTCCTCCCAGTTTAGTATCATCCGCAAATTTGCTGAGAGTGCAATCCACACCATCCTCCAGATCATTTATGAAGATATTGAACAAAACCGGCCCCAGGACCGACCCTTGGGGCACTCCACTTGATATCGGCTGCCAAATTAGCCTGAAGTATAATTAATTCATTTATACTAAAATGGATTTAATCCATAATTCCATAGGAATTCTACCATCATGGCTCCACTTATTGTAAATATTCAAGCAAACTAATCACATGCATTATATAAAGTAGCTATTTCCAGAAACAAGCAATTATATACTTTAAAAAATGAGAGATTTTGAATGTGGTTTTATAGAGACTTGTAAAAAAGTCTCTTTGATAACTGGGACACAACACAGACTTATAATTCCCAGTGAACTAATCATTGTGAAATGTAACATAGAAAGATTAACACTGATCTATCAAATTGTTCTACAAATGGTGGTATATGTTTTGATTCAATACAGTATCATTTCTAAGGTCCTGATCCTGCAAACACCTGAGCATGTGCCTTAAGTTAAATGTATGTAAACCTTTATAGAACTGAGGGCTTAAAACTATACTAAATATCTATAACTCAGATTCCACATCTAGTTCTAGTAATTTAAAGGCCACGTGTTTTCTGTTAGTATGATTGGCACTGATTAATGTAACTGGGGCTGGGTCAGTCTTATAAATCTCGGGCCAGCTCAGTTACACTGACAGAACAGAAAGCAAAATCTGGTCTAGAGTTTATAGCCCTGAACTACCCTTAATTACGTTTGTGTGAATAGTACTGGTGTAACTAAAAGCAGAAACTGACTCATGAACTATACAAACCAAAATACAAATATTTGGCAAACCACATCCTCACAGTAATGGCAAAGTGTGTGTTTTTCTGATCCTAAATACAGATTTAAGTGACCCTCAAATCAACTACCTCTTTAACTGTAATCTCTTATGGCTCCTTGGCTAAGTAATGTGTGTTTTATCATGAGAGATTATATACAGTGGTACCATTAGAAACTGGATGAAGTGTAGGGTTTATCACAAATACTGCCACAGAGGTGCGGTAAGCATTCCATTTTTAAACGATGTCCTCTGCATATTCCACTGCATCCCTGAACAGTTGCCTCTTTTCTCTTGACCAATACTATATATGGGTTAAACAATGTTTTAAAAAACTATATCGGCACATCTTATGTGACTCCACAGAATCTGTACTCTAAGCTGCACTGTGATAATGATGCATAACACTGGCAATAACAACATTCAGTGGATTGTTTATTGCTCAGTTAGGGAGCAATGAATTTCATGCCTTTAGAGGCCAAACCTGAGCTAGGCTGAAAGACAGTTTTTTCTCATGGAATAAACACAGATTTTCTGCTTTAAAATGGGATTTTTTTGTCAGCGGGACAGAGACACAAGCAATAATGGAAGTATCTTTTGCCAAATCATGCATGGAAAATGTCATCTTTCTATTCTATGGCCATAGCTTTACTTCCATACTGATCAAATTAATTATGAAAATTGCCTATATGTTTATCAATATGCCATATTTCCCGTTTCCTTGCTTGGTTAAAAAACTTCCTTTAAATGAAAAATTAGAAGTCACTGCTCAGAGTAAAATGGCAGTCTTTTCTGCCCAAAATAAATATTTGGATTCAACAATATCACACTTATATTCCACCATGTGCTTGATTAGGTAATTGTTGCCATGCAGCACAAACATTTGAGGGTCAATAATTACATATTTGACCGAATACAATATTTAGAAACACTGGGTTACAATTGCACTAGTGGTGCAGAGCTGCATGGTGAATAAGAGAGCTGGATTAGTTCCTTTCAATCACAGAGGTTTTCTTGTCTTTTTAGGTTGTTTCTGGTGTTTTTCTTATGAACAATTCTCAAAGAACAATTCTAAGCCAATGCAATTTTAAGATGAAATCTTGGCCCTGGCCCCACTGAAGTCAAAGACAAGACTCCTCTGCTGTATAAAGCATTGAAGGGTGGGACAGAGGGATAGCTCAGTGGTTTGAGCATTGGCCTGCTAAAGCCTGGGTTGTGAGTTCAATCCTTGAGGGAGCCCTTTGGGACAAAAATTGGGGATTGGTCCCACTTTGAGCAGCCGGTTGGACTAGATGACCTCCTGAGGTCCCTTCCAATCCTGATATTCTATGATTACAGTCTGATTAAGCAATATTTCAGCCTGATGTATACCTTGTGTAACCCCAGGTTGCTCTTTAGTGCTAATTGTTTCTAAAGTCCCATTTGTTTTTAAATAAGCAAAACAAAAAAACAAAAACCCCCAATTTCCTGAGACTACATCTTGGGCCAAATCCATGGGCTTACTGAAGTCAATGATAAAATTGCTATTGATTTCAATGAGATCAGGATTCAGACCTTTGCAGTTCTGTAACAAATTGCATCATGTTTTTGAAACTGGGGTAATGAGACAAGTAATAGACTACAAAAAATACAACCCCAAAATTTCATCGTCCTTAAAAACAAACAAACAGACAAACAAACAAAGCCCTCTCAAAGTCCCTGTCCTTCCTTATGTCCCAGGTTGTGTTTTGCTGCTACTTTAGCACAGTGACAGGCCAAAAACAAATGCCAGCTTCACACAGGCAAGAAAGCTGCAGAGAAAATTTGTTCTTTGTCTGATAGAAAAAAAATTCTTTGCAAATTTCAAAGAAAACACATTTGAGAAATCTGTCTGGGCCAGCCCAGTTCAATTCTTTGCGATCTGAAAATTTTCAATCAACGCTTTTTTCAGTGGAAAACTGGGGTTTTGACTAAAGGGAGACTATTTTGAGGAAAGTAGACGCTTTCTGAAATATTTTTGGCAGAAAACCAAACCCTGATTTTTTTTCTGCCCCACCCCAAGATCTGTTCAGTTTTCAGCCAAACTATTTTGGTTTTCAGTTGCTAAAAACCAAACACTTTTTCAAGTGTTTTCCCTTTAGATGTGAAGAACAAAATTGAGACATCAGGAGAATATAGTAAATTACATACATGAATTTGTAACTAGAAAGAACTCTCTTCTTTCACTGTACTGTCCCATCTATCTTGTGCACCAAAATTAGTGCATTTGCTTTTGAAGAACAAACTGTTACCTGCTGTTTGCGTTTTGAGGAAAGCACTTTTAAATCAGAACAGCAAATCTCTCCACTGCCGCCCTCATAGATCTCAGTACCTGTACTTGCAGTAGAAAGGTGAAAACTAACAATAGTCAGTTAGTACCAGAGTCTGATGGGTTATTCACACTCAGGGCTTGTCTACACTTACCGGGGGATCAATGCGCAGCAATTGATGCATCGGCAGTTGATTTAGCAGGTCTAGTGAAGACCCGCTAAATCAAATGCTGATCACTCTCCCATCGACTCCTGTACTCCACCTGAATGAGAGGTGCAAGGGAAGTCAACAGGAGAGCCTCTCCCACCAATATCACGTAGTGTGGACCCCGCGGTAAGTAGATCTAAGCACGTCAACTTCAGCTACATTATTCACGTAGCTGAAGTTGCATAATTTAGATCGATCTCCCCCCTGTAATGTAGACAAGGCCTAAGTAGTACCCTGAGCTACAAGTAGGTCCATCTGATGTCAGTGGGACTACTTATGCTGTAAGGTACTACTCAAAATCGGTTAAGCCCTAAACATTCCTCATTGTGTTCACTCATTCACATTAGTTGAATGTACTTAATTACTAGAGCAGTGGTGGGCAACCTTTGGCCTGTGGGCCGCACTCAGCCCATCAGGGTAATCTGCTGGCGAGCTGCAAGAAAGTGTTTACATTGACTGTCCACAGGCACGGCCGCTCGCAGCTCCCAGTGGCCTTGGTTTGCTGTTCCTGGCCACTGGGAACTGCAGGGGGACGTGCCTGCGGACGGTCAATGTAAACACTGTCTTGCGGCTCGCCAACGGATTACCCTGATGGGCCGCGTGTGGCCCGTGGGCCTCAGGTTGCCCACCACTGTACTAGATCATGGAAAATATTCATTGCAAAATCCAAAACCACATATGTTCCTCTCATTTGGCATTTCCTGGACTGCTTGAAATGCAACCCAGAGTCTCTCAAAGGTTCCCAGACCTGGGCCCAATCTCATGAGCAGGGCCCTACCAAATTCACAGTTCATTTTGATCAATTTCACAGTCATAGGATTTTAAAAAACATAAATGTCATGATTTCAGCTATTTAAATCTGAAATTTCACAGTGTTGTAATTGCAGGAGTCCTGACCCAGAAAGGAGTTGGGCGGGTGGGAGGGTCGTAAGGTTATTGGAGTGGGGGGTGCGGTACTGCTGCCCTTACTTCTGTACTGCTGCTAGTGGTGGTGCTGCCTTCAGAGCTGGGCGGCCGGAGAGCGTCGCCGGCTGGCTGGGCGCCCAGCTCTGAAGTAGAGCCGCTGTCAGCAGCAGCACAGAAGAAAGGATGGCATGGGATGGTATCGCCACCCTTTCTTCTGCGCTGCTGCTGGTGGGGCGCTGCCTTCAGAGCTGGGCGCCCGGCCAACAGCCGCCGCTCTCCAGCCACCCAGCTCTAAAGGCAGCCCAGAAATATGGGCGGCAATACCGCGACCCCCCTAAAATAACCTTCTGACCCCTCTACAACTTCCTTTTGGGTCAGGACCCCCAGCTTGAGAAATACTGGTCTCCCCCATGAAATCTGTATAGTATAAGGTTTCACAGGGGAGATCAGATTTCATGGTCCGTGACGTGTTTTTCAGGGCCATGAATTTGGTAGGGCCCTAGCCTTGAGATCCCAGGACAATCTATGGTTTCACATCTAAACGAGACAAAAGTCGTTTCTACGGCTGTGAATGCTGAGTTAATATAACCCCCTAACTAAAATTTAGGGGACATGCACTCCCGTAGACTGAAAGAGAAGGAAACCAACCCTTGTGAACTGCTGAACATCCAATGTCTGCCCCTGGAGGCAGGCACGCACCTCTTACTGAACTCAATGGGCACTGGGAGGTTTTGCTCTGATTATACCCCAACCATTACATTATGGTTTTGCATTTTCAATCCAAATTTACCACAATGTTTTGCTGGTTTCATTCTCTCTTTGTCTTTGATTCTTCCCCCTTCCCCAACAAGATGCACCATTAACTCAGCATTCACTGCTCCAAGGGTCAAATTCTGCTCTCACTTGCACCAGTTTGCTTTAAGAGGCTTGTAACTGTACAGCTTAACTGCATCCCACCTGTTTCAATGGGAATTGGATTTTGCCTTATGTTAACGCAGGATTTGCAATCTGCCGTGTCCGTGGCACATTATCTTCCTATTCTGAGAATAATGGATGCCATGGTGCCCCAACCACTTGGCAGTGGAAAATAGTGAAGGCCTGATTCTCCACCAGTTTTATGATTTCAGTGGAAATACAGGTATAAATCTACTGTAATGGGTTTGAGACCAGGCCCTGAGTTTGTAATGACATTCACTGTACATCCCCATATTAGAAAACATCCCCATGAAGAACTTCTGTGCTTCATTTGACATTTGTTGTTCATCCTTAATCAAACGCAACTCAAATTCTGTATTACACGTTTAATAATGTAACCCCCATTATTTTGCCCCCTGAAGAGAAGAGCAGAATTGTCAGTGACTCTCAAAGTGCTGTGCTTTTTCCTCTGCAATATGGAAAAACGCACACACTCAAACTGTAAACATCTTCTAACTCACATTTATTCAAATGGTACATTGAAAGTGTACAAGATACTACGCATTTCAGATGGGGCCAACACACCCCAGTAAACACTGTGAAAATCTTTTTACACTATGAATACTGTATTCAAACATTTATAAATATTTGACAGCTCTAGGGAATGATCTACACTTCACTTTTTTTAAAAGGGTTGCTCTCATTTAGATGAATTTACTTCAGCCAAAAAACAAGACAGAGAAAAAAAACTCCATGAAGCTGTTTCCGCAAACAAAGGGACAAATCTTGAGTCCCTTACACAGTTTTTTTATGTGACCGTGGTTGGAGTCTGCCTGAGTCAGAACTGAGGCAAAACTATGGATCTCAGGATTTGACTCCAAGCCAGTGAAGGCCTGATCTTATAGGGGCTGAGTGCACTCAACTCTTGTTAAATTGGTGGGCACTGAAGGCGTTCAGCACATCACACGAGATGTTCACTATGACGGTGTCAGGCCCTAAAGTACCTGGAAGTTCTTGTATGCAGTTGATTTCTCTATGCATGTATGCGACGCACTATCCCCGCAAAGCAGAGCAGGCAGCCATGCTAACTACACCGCACAACAGTTTCCAAAGCTGTTCCCTGCCATGTACCCTATACACAGCCTTCATTACAGATGTGGTTGCCGTTGATGAGGCTGAACATGGCCACTGAATGGTTGGTGCTCTTGAGGGAGGTCATTCGAGTGGTGCTTCTGCCCATGCTTTGGGACCTGATGAGGAGACGGGTTCTGCAGCACAACAGCTGGTTGTTGAACTGTTTCCTAAAACTTTTGCTGAGCAAGTAGAGCGCGAAAGGGTTTCACGCAAGAGTTAGCAAAGGCCAGGATTCGAGCACAGATGCTGGTGATGAAGTGCAGCACTGAGGTGTCTACCTCTGAATAATGGTAGGACCGGTATAAATAGATGATGTGATTAGGAAGCCAGCAAAAAGCAAAGAGGCACACAAACACCAACACTGTCTTGGCCAGACGCTTACGTGAATCAATCTGAAAAGAACAAAGAGAAAAGTAGATTAGCGAATGTTCCTCACTTTGGCAAAAGCTGGTGAAATTGGAAGCTAATTACTTTTCCTGTCACCGGGCGTGGATGTGGGGGAAATGAGACAGTTATTGCAGGGGAGTCTGGACTGGACAGGACTTTAGCACTGAGCGAGTCAGCTGCCCAAAAAGTAAGAAACCAAACAACTAAAACATCTCTTCTATCCTAAAGATAAAACTCAGGTGAACCTAATGCTCAGTGACAGAGTATCACTAACCCCAGCATGGTCTACAGAAGTCCAAGAATCAGCAACATATTAGCCAGGGTAGGGGCTACCTAGCATACTTCACAGAGTGCAAATACGTTACTACTTGGGGCCATGTGGTAAACATACGCGTATATAATGCCGGCAGACCCTGCTCGTCAGGCAGGTGGGATCATTGTTTCTCCTTCATGGAGTCTTCTTCCCCAGCTCCTGTAGCCTTCCTTTCTCCTTCTCCAAGCTTCTTGTATATTTCCTTATTGAAACCCCTCCTAGTCTCCTGGGTTTCTTTGATCTATGGTTAGTAAATTTTCTCCAGAAAAACCCTCCCCTCAGAGAAGAAGGGTAAAAATGGCTTTCCCTAAGTTGCAGTCACTCTTTAGGATAACTTTTGTATGATCAAACAACCATCATTAACATTAAGTATTCCCCATTGTCCTTTGTCTAGTGAGTACCAGCTGCATGTCCTGTCAGCAATGATGGATCCACATACGTATCGGCTTTCCGTGACACAGAAATTTCATGATACAATTTAATAATATCATCCACCATTCGTAAATTGCACAGACAGAACCCCCAACTTGTCACAGGGCCATCTCAGAAATGGCTGTGCCAATCTTCCAGTTCAAACCATGATGGGAGAAGGCCGAGGCGCAATGAAAGGACAAACTACCTGAGGCCTGGCCTACACTAGGAAAAGCTGTAATTTTACCACATGATAGCTAACATGTTACACAGACAGGGCAAGCTGTGGTCTGACATTGATTTAGAGGGCGAAGGGGAAATCCTGAGGGGGGCCTAGGGTTCACCTCGAGCTGCTAAATCTAAGTAAAGCTACAACCTGCCCAGTCTGCACTAGGGTGATACAATGTGTTCTCTCTCTCTCATTGTAAAAACATATTTATGTCCCTAGAGAGGACAAGACCTTAGAGGGGACCCACCATCCAAAAGAGGAAGATACAGCTGCTCCACCCAGGGAACCTCTAGACAGTATTGCATCATGGGAGATGCAATGCCTCCTGGACCTTGCTGGCACAGATAGTGTACTACCACTTGTCTTAAGAGGCTGCTGTATGCATGTCACTTTGTGGTCATGCCCTACCTCCTCCCCACCCTTCCTAGAGTGGCTTTTGCTGCTAGCTCCGCTTGCTCTGCATGTAAGTCTTGAAATTGTGAACACCGCTTGGGGCCTCCCTGCTCTTCCATATCCGGGCAGCAGCTGGGCACAGTCAGGCCCTTGCAGAGTAATGGGCTCGGTTCTGATTGCTTCAGTTGAGAAGGGTGAGAGCTGAAACTGTGGGTATGACAACATAGCAAACGCTGTGCACAGGCTCGCTTACCTGTGCCTGACTCCAGCTTGGATAGATCAGGGGCTCTCAATCTTTCTAGAGTACCGTACCCCTTTCAGGAGTCTGATTTGTCTTGCGTACCCCCAAGTTTCACCTCACTTAAAAACTACTTGCTCACAAAATCAGACATAAAAATACAAACGAATCACGGTACAATATTACTGAAAACTGTTTACTTTTTCATTTTACCATATAATTCTACATAAAGCAAATAGAATATAGATATAGAAGCAAGTAGAATATAGATTTCAGTGTATAGTATAGCAAGTCAATGTCTGTATGAAATTTTAGTTTGTACTGACTTCACCAGTGCTTTTTATGTAGCCTGTTGTAAAACTAGGCAAATATCTAGATGAGTTGATGTACCCCCTGGAAGACCTGTGCGTACCCCCCAGGGGCAGGAGTGGGCAAACATTTTGGCCCGAGGGCCACATCTCGGTGGGGAAATTGTATGCAGGGCCATGAATGTAGGGCTGGGGCAGGGGGTTAGGGTACAGGAGGGAGTGCGGGCTGTATGTGTGGGGGGGGTGCAGTGTGCAGGAAGGGGCTCAGGGCAGGGGGTTGGGATGTAGGATGGGTGCGGGGTGCAGCAGGGGGCTCAGGGCAGGGGGTTGGGGTGCGGAGTGGAGGGTACAGGGTGCAGGAGGGGTTCGGGATGTGGCTCCGGCCCAGCACTGCTTACCTCGAGCAGCTCCGGGTGGCAGCGGTGTGCAGCGGCCCTAAAACAGGCTCGCTGCCTGTCCTGGCCTCGCATCACTCCCAGAAGTGGCCAGCATGTCTGGCAGTGGCTCCTGGGGGTGGGGTGGGGCAGGCAGCTCCGCCGTGTGCTGCTCTCCCCTGCAGGTACCACTCCTGAAGCTCCCATTGGCCGCAGCTCCCTGTTCCCGGCCAATGGGAGCTGTGGAGGGCGGTGCCTGCAGGTGAGGGCAGCGCACGGAGCCCTCTGCCCTCCCCCGCCCCCCCACCAGGGACGTGGTGCTGGCCGCTTCCGGGAGGTGGCACGGGGCCAGGGCAGGCAGGGGGCCTGGCTGCTGGAAATGTTGTGGGCTGGATTGAAAGCCCTGACGGGCCGGATGCGGCCTGTGGGCCATAGTTTGCCCTCCCCTGCCCAAGGGTATATGTATCCCTGGTAGAGAAACACTGGTATACACTAGCCTGTACACAGCTTTTGCTGAGTAGTCATATTCAGAATCCCAGCTCTCATCCTTGTAAAATTTAAGGAGAGTTAGATGGGTCTCATTTGAGGTATAGATGTTTATAAAGTGTATCAAAGTCTGATCAGCCACTCCTTTACACACTTGTGCTCCTTTTCACACCCCAATGTATAGCACTGAACAATCATTAGGTACTGCTTGGCACTGCTTGAGGCAAGATTTGAGGCTTTTTGTGCTCTGACCCAATGTGGCAAATGCTATATTCTCATTACTCACATGAAAGATTTGAGTCAGATAGTCACATCCCAAAGCACTATAAGTAAATTGAGAATTAAGATGGTCACAAAAAGCAAATCTTTTCCCATGATAGAAGCAAGCACGAAGCAGGCAACAGAACACTGCCATAGCACGTCATGACTTTATTTTGTGTTCCTTTAATTGCATAAGCTGAAAATTAGCTATTGAATTCAGAAAAGATTGACATGTACCAGATGACAGTCAAATGTCCCCAAAGATCTAACTGTAAATTAAACCCTGTGGGATAAGTCTCTCATGAGTGAACTGTACATATATATTTTTAATGTATCCTTAATTTGATACTGAAGCTATTGTGGCCCACATCTGCACTATGAAGAAAGGAAACAATGCAATAAAGAAATCAATATCACTTATCTAAGACAAAGACCTATCACTGCTGAATGCACTGCAGGAGTCAAATCATTGACTGACTTTGCTGGAGCAGACTCACTTTTTGCTATCTTTATAATTCTGTATACAAACCTTTGGGGAAAGGACAGGCGAGAAGTGACTCTTTATACTTCTAGTGCACTTTAGTGGGTAATCAAAGCAGTTACCAAGCAGGCAGAAAGGTGGGAATGGTGGGAGAAAGACTTATAAACATTCAAAAGTAATGTAAGATACGTCCTTTGTGAAATCCCCCCATTTACTATGCTGAAAGCACATCTTTTCACCCACATGGTGCTACCTGATAACCAGTGATGGGAAAATTTCTAAAGGTTCAAGAAATTCAGTTCAGATCTGTTACTGACGGAGGGTAAAGTCATTGTTTGTACAGCTGAGCCCACTCAGGCTAACAGCAGACTTGGAGCCTAAAACATAAAAGCATGAGCCTCTACTGATTGAGCTAAAGTAGCAAGAAAGTTGCTACATGAGAAAGTTGCACCAGCTCAATTTAAGGTGAGGATTTAAACTGATTTATTGAAACTGGAGCAAAACCCTGTACTAACACTTATTTCAGTTTAAGCATGGCTTACGTTAGTTTACTTACAATCAAGTGGGAATTAAGCCAGACTGAAATAATCCACATGTAAACTGAAATAGGAAAGTCCACACAGGGGCTGTACTAATTTAAAAGTTTAAAAGCAATTCAAGTTAAAGAACTGTAACTTTCTCATTTAGACAAGATCTAAGGATAGCAGCACACTGGAGCTGGAGGGGTCATTTCCAGCTCAAGGAGACATACCTGTGCTAGCTCTGATCAACCTAGTGTGCTAAAAATAGGAGTGGAGCCACACTGGTGCAAGCAACTTGTCCCGCAAGTACATGCCAAGGGTTTCAGACAGGATTGTACTTGGGGCAGCTAGCCCAGCTCACTGTTCGTGCCCCCATGGACACTGTTATTTTTAGTACTCTCTCTTGATCAAAGCTATAAAGGGTATGTCTACCTGAGCTGGAAATAACGCCATCTCCAGTATAAACATATACTGTTTGTGCCCTTAGCCGGAAGCAGTAGTAGATTCACAAATCTCCAGCCACTAAATGAGAACAGGTTTCAAAGTGGTAGCTGTGTTAGTCTGTATCAGCAAAAACAATGAGGAGTCCTTGTGGCACCTTAAAAACTAACAAATTTATTTGGGCATAAGCTTTTGTGGGCTAAAACCCACTTCATCAGATGCATGGAGTGAAAACTACAGTAAGCAGTACATTACAGCACATGAAAAGATGGGAGTTGCCTTACCAAGTGGGAGGTCAGTGCTAATGAGGCCAATTCAATTAAAGTGGAACTGGCCTATTCTCAACAGTTGACAAGAAGGGGTGAATATCAAGAGAGGGAAAAGTACTTTTGTAGTGCTAACGAGGCCAATGCAATCAAGGTGGATGTCGTCCACAAGGGTAATGTACTTTCAAATAAAATAAATTCATACCTGTTTCCTAACATGTATGTTTCCTTCCACAGGTATATTGTAAGCACTCCGGATCAAATTTTTAGCAATGAAATAGTAATACACTGAAATGATGGATAGAGGAATGATGTAAAAGATCAGAAATGATGCCATTGAATGAATTTTTGGATGTAGCCCATCAGAATGTGGGTAGGGAGCACAGCTGATGAATGTTTTGTTAGTGTCTCTGTCATAGAAAGGGTGCAAGTCAGAAAACACTGCTTCAGGAATGGCCAACAGCATGGATAAAATCCAGATCATAGCAGCTTTCAAACAAATCTTCATCAGCGCGTGGGAGGCTTGGATATCCATCGGTCTCACTATCGCTTTATACCTAAGAGCAAAGAGAAAGAACTGTTACTAACTATGACATTGAAAATAGTCACACTGGGTCAAATGTATCTTTGTCCAATCTTTCACTGAGTCCCCTTTTCATTTTGGAAAATCCCAGCAACAGTTTTCAACTGGTGCTGGTTGAAATTTTTAACATTTCTGAAATTTTGCAATCAGCTCAACTTGTCACCAGTTAATTCAATTTCAGGTGTATTGATTTTGAACATGTACAGATATATTCTGAGATCCACGTATGTGTACAAGTGGCATTAAGAGGAAGTAAAATAAATGCGTGTACTTTTAAAGCATAAACACTGTGATACTACTACAAATAGAATAGCACTTCATTTAGTATTGTTCAAGGAAACTAGACTAGATATTGCTTAAAGAGTTTGTAAAAGCTGCTGGTGACTTCTTTTGGAGTTGAGGGTACACAGCACTTCTGAAACTCAGACCTTGTGTTTTCAAAATTGGAACAGATATTCTACCCATTTAAATTACTTATGTGTGGTCTAGGACGCAGTTTCCATTTGTTCATAATTAATTGTATCCAAATTAACTAGCATGTGGTGATTTACAGAAGACAAGTTATGAAGAAAGAAATTACGTGCTACATTATGTAAATATGCATAATAGATTTTGTGTTTCTGTACACTTTTTCCTTCCAGAATTTCAAGCTTTTTTAAAAGTTTGAATTTCTAATTCAGCACAGAAGCAAAATATATTTGAAGCTTGTATGTAGAATGAAAAGCCCATATAACAAAATAGCCACATATAAAAAGAACTCCAGTTTGAAATAGGTGCATTTAAAAATTCACAATTCATAAATATATTTAAAGTATAAATTAGAAGTAACAGATGGCATTTAGGAAATAATATCTATAGGTTTTATACAGTATTATTAAATTAATCATACTCATGATAATGGCATTTATATCCTATTCTCTACTTAAAATCTAGATATTTTTATTTGCCCAATCCCCTTTTCAAAGAGTATATGGAAAATGAATCCCTATAGAGTTAGGGGTTAAGTGGTCAACATAGAATAAAACATAAATGGCGACTCACTTTCTCATAACTGTTCTTCACGGTGTGTTGAATATGTCCATTACACTTTAGGTGTCTGCACATCACGTGCACCGGTGCTGGAGAGTTTTCCGTAGTGGTACCCATCAGGGTGGCTCTGCCCACTGCTGGGCTCCTCATACTCTGAAGCAAGGATATAAAGGGTGGAGTTGCCCCATCCCCCCTTCAGTTCCTTCACACCGGAACCGATAGTAGGCTGTGATGCATCAGGAAAGGAGGGTGGGTCTTGTAATGGACACATGCCTACGAACATCGTGAACAATGATTATGAGAAGATGAGTAACCATTTTTTCTTCAAGTGCTTGCATACGCCTGTTATACTCTAGGTGACTCCCAAGATATTACCCCAAGAGGCAGGGTAGGGAGTCTCATCAGAAGAGGGACTGCTTCCCAACATTGGCATGCTTCTATGATGCAGCATACAGTGCTTGGTGAGTGTGGAATGAGAATGGAAACCATGTCTCTGCTCTACAGATGCCCATAACTGGGATTGTGCCACAAATGCTGCTGAGTTCAAATGAGCTCTTGTTGAGTGCACTGTGAGTTTCTCAGGAGGCATTGCTCCTTTGCCAGTATAGCACATTGTAATGCAGCTGGTGATCCATTTCGAGAGTCTGAGTTGTAATCGGGTGGTCTCTCATATATTCCATAAAAGACGCAAAGCTGGGAAAAGACACAAAAAGGCTTTGTTCTATTTAGGTAAAACACCAATGTTTGCTGAATGTCCAAAGTACGGAGCCTCTGCTTGTCTTTATGTGTATGTGGTTCAGGAAGGAAACTGGCCAGTGAATAAACCAATTAAAATGGAAATTGGCCACCACCTTTGTAAGGAACATGGGGTATATTCTCAGCTGAACCTTGTCTTTGTAGAAGACTGTGGAGGATGGATCTGTGACCAATGCATTCCGTTCTCTCATCCTTGTGATGGAGGTAATGGCCTTTAAGAAGGCTACCTGTGCTGACAGATGTTGAAATGAGCATGATGCTAAAGGCTCACAAGGAGGGTCAATAACCGCAGACAACAGCAGATTTAAATCCCAAGAAGGTGTTGGGTCTGTGACAAATAAAAACAATCTATCAAGACCCTAAAGGAACCTGGTAGTGATTGGGCAAGTGAAAACAGTCTAATCATCTGTGCAAGGGTGAAATGCCAAGATGGCTGACAGATGCGCCCTGACTAAGGGCTAGATCTGACTCCTGAAGGTGCACAAAATGGTCCAGAATTATGGGAGGTGGCCCAGATGGAAAAACACTTCCATTTACTCAGGTAAGTAGCTCTTGTGGGTGGCTTTCTGCTATTAAGGAGTACTTTCTGAACTGCTACTAAGCGATGTGCCTTCTTTACGTTCAGCCACTGATGAATCATGCCAGAGCATGTAGCCCCCAGCTGTGGTTCTGTGTCAGGAGATCTCTGTCTATTGGTAACAATAAAGGTTCATGAGTGGACAATTTGCAGAACTCTGTGTACCACATCTGTCTCAGCAAGGCTGGAGCTATAAGGATCATCTTGCCTTGATCTTGCTTGAGCTTGAGAATGACCTGGGAATCAGGGGTCCTGGCAGGTAGGCAAAGAGGAGCTCTTTGTTCCATGGAAACAGGAAAGTGTCTGACATTGATCCTGAGGTGTGTCCCACCCTGGAACAGAAGTAGGGATAGTTCCTGTTCTGTCAAGTTGTAATCAGATCTACAGATGGGAAACCCTCTACACTGAATACCCATGCTAGAACATTTGTGTTGAGGGACCATTCATGAAGTTTCTTGAAGGCTTTTTCTAAATCTTTCATTGTCACTCAGCATTATAGCATCCTGTTTGTTGGGTCACCTGTTCAACAGGTAAACATTCTTCAGAGCTAAGTTCTAGATTCAAAATGGTCTCTACCCAAAAATAGCTACAGACACATCCACGTTGACTGTTGTGTAGCCAGTGATATATTGCCCCAAACCACGGTGGGGCTCCTTTTGTTTCTAACTTAATGTACGATTAAGTCAATTGGAGTCTGCCCACTGAAATCAGTGGGAAGACATTGGATCAGACCCATGGATGGGTAAAAGTGCAGGAATCAACATCTTTGCTTCCCATGGTTACTAATACCACATATTTGGCGGGATGTAGTAGAAAGAGAGAGCCTGAGACATGAGGCCTGGTATAGCGGGTCTGGTGTAAGGCCTAAGGCCTGAACTAAAATAGTCAGGCACTGCTGATATAAAGCAAAGGTTTGGCTATGAGCAAAAGTCAGGCCCTGTTACAAAGCAGATGCTTGCTTGCAGGTTCACGATCCGATATATGAACTTGGCAAGAACAGAGCTGTCATTGCAAAAACACAAGCATTCCTAGGCACTGAGAATTTCTGTAAACATATTCCAGAAGGCTAGTACCAGAATACCCCGATACAAGGCTATGGTATAAACACGCTTGCCAAAGATGATACATGGACACACTGACCCCCCCCTTAAAGATAAGATCAGGCTGACAGGGTGATGGCTAGAGACGATTTGATCAAACCAACAGGTACACGGTAAAGGGTGGCAACTAACCACGTCAGTGGGGCAATGCGTAATTTGTTTGTATCGGCATATAAAAGAGGGGTCAAAAAGGGGGTGTCTTTGGCCGGTCGAGGGGGGAACTGAAAGTCCCGCCATTCACTGAGCTGATCCATTGTCAGGGGCATACATGTATTAAGTGTACTTGTAGCACGTATAGGGCATTAATACTGTGCTTTCTTGGCAATAAACCTGGCCAAGCACCTCTGCCACTGAATAAAGTCTGTGATCTTTTGGGGCAGTTTGATCGAGCCTGCTGTATGGACTATCTGGCCAGAACCAGTGCAGCATGCAGCGAGAACACATACGCAGCAAATAACTGACCATAGGGGATAATGAGGATCTGCGCTTCTCCTACTCTCTATGTTAGACAGCGAGGTACTTGAGCACATACCTAACTTTAAGCATGGGCGTAATTGTGACACTCCCCAGAGTACCCAGCGGGGTGAGGCCCCTCACCATTATCACCACCTGCCTTTAGCATGGAGCAGTCTTTTCTGTGCCTGCTGTGGATAAGCTCTCTGACAGCACAAGCACTGCCTACCAGCCTCCACAGGCCTCGCCTCCTCTGTACAGGTAGCAATAGGCACACACCAACCTCTGGGTCCTCAGAGCATTCCCTGCAGTGCTCTGTTCCTGATCTACTGGAGACTCGCCTAATTATCAGGTCAGCTGTTCCCAAAGTCACAATATACTCAGGATCGCCAGCTGGTTTAACACCACAGCACTTACGCTTACTCTTGTTTTCACTATATCTATCAATCAATCAATCAATCAATCAAAGAATAGAGATTCAAATGGTTTATTGTAAAATAAAATCATAACATGCTTTCTTTCTAGACCTAACTAACAGGTTAACTTCCTGTCTAAAGAAGTTTCTCACCCAAAGGTCTCTCCAGCATTTTCAGCCAAGCCTGGCCGAGATCAATTTTCCCTCTAATTTTTTACATCCATGTGTGGAATGAATTTTGTTATGTGCACCAATATGGAGGTGATGTATACGGGGCTGGGGCTGGGGGGGTTTGGAGTGTAGGAGGGAGCTCAGGGCTGTGGTAGAGGGTTGGGGTGCAGGGGGTGAGGGCTCTGGCTGGGGGTGAGGGATTTGGGGTGGGGCTGGGGATGAGGGGTTTGGAGTGTAGGAGGGAGCTCAGGGCTGGGGCAGAGGGTTGGGGTGTGGGGGGTGACGGCTCTGGCTCGGTGTGCAGGCTCTGGGGTGGGGCCGGGGATGAGGGTTTGGGGTACAGGAAGGGGATCAGGGCTGGGGCAGAAGATTCCTGTAACCCACGTACACTCCCTCTGTGTCCCTTGCCAGATGGCACTGAGAGATTCCTGGGTCACCGTAGTCTCATTCATTTCAAATAGAACTTCAGTGGT